CCACATCTCCTTAGCCGTATCACACCCGGAAACTCTATGGAATTCCGTTGGATTGAGAGCACATTGAAGCATGTTGATTGCTTTGTTGTTGATCATGATCTTTTCCAAGTCTTCATCATTCCAATCTATCTCTTCCTTTGGCACCTCCCTTTCTCCAACAATTTTCATGGGTACATATGGACCTTTCATAGTCACAACCCATGCCTTGGGCACATTTGCAAGCATGAAGACCTTCATCCTATTCTTCCAATAATTGTAATTAGTCCCATCAAAGAAAGGAGGCCTAGTGGTAGACAAACCTTCAAGTGGTTGAGAAGCTTGAAATTGAGCCATCCTTGATCAACTCCTAGGTGGTTAAACCTTCAATTTGGAGCCCTTGCTCTGATACCAATTGTTGACTCAATGTACTCCAAGAGGGGGGGTGAATTGGAGTTGGAGAATTTTCGCCTCTTTGCAACCACCAAACAAAAATTAAAGAGAGAGTTGAGAAGAAGAGATTGCACAATGATTTTATAGAGGTTCGGTCCAACCACTTGGAACCTAGTCCTCTACCTTGGCTTCACTCACCAAGGATTTCCTCCACATTTTCCACTAACAACAACAAGGGTGGCTTAAAGGAGCCACTCAATCCTTTTACAAAAATAAGGGTGTTTCTCTCAAATCTCACCTCTTTACAATGTAAACCCCAAAGATCCTCTCTTCAGATCACTCTTGAAGGAATCAACACATCCCTAAGATCACTCACTAATAGCACAAGAAGAGGATTACAAACAAAGATCTCTCAAAGATCAAAAACTCAAGTTAAAGCTCATGTAGGTAGGTAAAGATATTCAATACAATACTCTCTAACCCTCTTCAGATCTGTTACCAACCATATTTATACCCCCTTGCTTGAAAATAGCCGTTACTAGCCGTTGGAGGTCATTAAATGCCCTGCAGGACGCGAAGCTCGAGTTGCAAGATTGTCAGGAGAGCCGGCTTAACTTACTAGAGCCGACTCTGATCAGCCGGCTCACCATTTCTGCAGCCGGCTCTGCGGCTTTCCTGCACATTCTGTTTTCCTCGAGAGCCGGCTGCAAAACTTTGAGCCGACTTTGCAACTCCGACTTTAAATACATTAAATAATCTTCAAATGACTTGACCGTTGTGCATTAAATGCACCCTCACAGCCGGCTATAAAGTTGGAGCCGGCTTTGCGTCTTTTCTCCGCGCGGGCCAAGCAACGTTCTTCAAATTTTTGCCTGTAGAGCCAGCTGCAGCTTTTAGAGTCGGCTCTCTGCACTTCCATTTCACTAGAGCCGGCTGCAGCTTTTAAGAGCCAGCTCTCTGCACATTTTGAATCCTTTTGGTCTATTTTTAGTGCAATCCAAGTTTGCTTGCAATCTTTTAGCAACTTAACTACACACTTAAATAAACCAATTAGTCACTCAAATGTGTTTTGTAATCATCAAAATCATAGGTACAACAAGAAAGAAAAGGTGCTGTTAGGTTCGATTGAACCCAGGTGCTGGGTTTGAAAGAATCCATGAGCAAAAAATTTTTAAATAAAATTTTGTTTTTTTGTGAGTTTTATTGTTTGATGATGATGATGATGATTAAGAACCTAGTAAAAGTAGAAATTGGTTGAAATGAATAGATTGGTTCAAATGTTACAAATTAGTTGAGATCTTAGGGTTTGCAAAGGGT